AGAGGGGAGGGGAGGAGAGCGGAGGCAGGGCAGGCGAGGTCAGTAGGGGCGCGGCGGGGCGCGGCGGGGCGCGGCGGGGGCGCATGGTGTGCTGCATTTGACACAAATTGCTGCACTTTCACTTATTTGGCCACGATGCACTTGATTCTTCGTCGAATGGGCGGGGCGCAGCGGGCCCGGCGGGGGAGGGGGGGCGGCTCCGTGCGGGGCTCCGAGCGGCAACGACGCGCCGACCAGCGACACAACTCGGGTCCCAAAGGGTCCACGACGAAGGAGAGGTGTTCGGCGACCAGAGGGTCCCCGATGAAGGAGGTCGTGACCGAAGGAAGAGGCGGTGACAGAAGGAGGCGGTGACCGAAGGAGGCGGTGACCGAAGGAGGTGTCAGGGTCCCCGACGAAGAGGGTGATGTTCACCGTGGACAGGACAGGGTTCCTGACGGTTGTGGTGGTGTCCACTGCCACCTGCCAGTTCCTCCGCTCGTCGACGGCGTCCTCTCCTCCGCGATCGCCCTCCCGCGCCGCCGCGCACGCGCTCCATTTGCAGCTCATTAGCGCCGCCCCCGCCGCGCTCGCGCCCCAGCCCGGCCGGCCGCGGCTCCAGGCTCCAGGTGGCGGACATTACGGCGCAGAAAACGTGACACGACAACAGTTTCAAAATGTGCTCGTGAAGTGGTGTGTGGTTCTTCACAGTGTACACACATCGGCGACCCCTAAGCTGAGCCCCCTGATCAGCTCGACACACCTATTGTCCTCGGAGGGGGGAGGGGGTCAGCCCGGGTCACAGAGTCAGCCGCTCCTCCTCCAGGTCGCGCATGTATCCTCCCCCCTCTCCCTCTCCTCCTTTCCCCCTGATCCGTCGAAAAGAAAGTTTTTATTCCCCCTTCCCCCATCTGCTTCGTCGCCTCGTTCTAGCAGCAGGTAAAGGCCGGGAGCACCACCGTCATCAGGTGGGACCCCTCGGCAGTCACAGGTGCGCAACCAGGGGATCAGTCGCAAATCGCGCTGGTTCTGAGGACAATGATCGGTCATTTTCTGATGACCTTACAAGGGTCAAGTTCAGTGACCTCGTTTAATGACATTCGGTGTTTCCATTAAATAATGTTAGAGATGAGCTGAGATTGGCGACAGTTAAACACTGAGAACCGCACGACTTTCGAGCAAGTTTTCCTTCGGAGTGTATCGAACGCCCCTCGGGGCCGGGCAACGCCAGTCCTGCGCGGGGGTGGGTGGGGGCTGGGGGTGGGTGTCACTCGCGTGAGAGAGCGTGCGTGGGGCGCACAGAGTGCACGAACACACGCACGCACGGGGAGGGACAGAGACAGAGAAACAGAGCGAGAGCGGGGGCCGCACGGCGCACGGCGTCCCGAAGTAGACGTAAACAAAAATACACGTGCCGAGCAGCGGCGAGCAGGGCGCCCAGGGCGGCTCCACGTGGCTGCAGCGGGGCGCCCCGGCGCCTCTAATGCATCAAGAGTAACGCAGCCGCAAGGAGGAACGGGGGTCATAGCTCGTTCAGTCTCGCACTAAAGACGTGTGAAGCCGGTGCGACGACAACTGTGCGTGACAACTTCATTGCTTCTTGTAATAATGTTGCACCAGGGGTCCATCACATCAGGTGTACCACGAAAACTATCTTGACAGTAGAGTGCTTTACTTATTTAGAGCCGCAGTGGACCTGCGGCGCAGAGATCGCGAGTAAGTATACCATCCCGAGAAGAGAGCGAACATGCAGCAGCAATACCTTCCCCAAAGCTTCAAAAAATAAATACATTAGAAATGCATTGAGTGATAACATTTCACAGAGTAAAGCATTTGATTGCGCAAAAGAATGTCCATCGAAAAGTTTCCCGCACGGAAAAAAATGAATTGGTCGTCAGAACTAAATATTAGTTAATTTCGGGACAATCGATCAAAAAATTGTTGAGGTAACTAATAATTTGTTTTCAGAACCAAGATTAAGTTGTCAGAACAAGCTGTTCGGTGCTTGAGCTAACGCATTCGTTTTAAAAACAAACCACGAATTGGCTCCTGCAGCAAACGTGCTTGGTTTTAGCGACCAACTCTTGGCTCTGGCAACTTAATCTTGGTCCTGACAACAAATCATGAGTTACCTCAACAATTTTTTGATCGATTGTCACGAAATTAACTAATATTTAGTTGTGACGACCAATTCTTTTTTTTCCGTGCGACAATGTGGCGAGAAGCGACACGGCCAGACCGAGACCCTGCTTCACGGTGGTCCTGCCAACCAACGTGTTCCACGGGACACGGTGACCGCGACACCCCCATCGGTCTGCCTGAAGTCCGTTTGTCTGTCGGTCTGACGTGCGTACGAGGCCTCGCGCCTCGCAGACATACCGGTCTGTGTGCCTTTGAAGCCCCTGAGGTACCGTCGTATCGGTACCAAGGGTTAACGAACCTTCGATCACTTCCAACCCTAAAAGGCCGCTGCACGGCATGCAGGCATGCGCTGCCCTGCCTGCCACCCCCGCAGCCGGCTGCCAGCTCGGTCCGCCCCGCCCAGCCCGCCCGCTTGCTCGCCTGCCAGCCCCGGCTGCCCCGCC